AAATTGGCAGATTTTAATTCCTCCTGCAACTACTCACAAGGATACCCACCAAACACTGGTACCCCACACTCATTGGTCCTTCGAACAAAAGAAATTTTCCCCCATATACTCGTGTCTGGCATATTAAATTATGAGTGAGACGAGTACATTTCGGTCTCACGAACTGGATTTGACCAAGGTTATAAAAGTGCCACCCCCAACATTTGGTCCTTACGAGCCGGATCAGGTTAGATTAGAAGTTGATCCCCCAACATTTGGTCCTTCGAGCCGGATCAGGTTAGATTAGAACTTGATCCCCCAACACATACTTTCAGTTTAGGCATAGTCTTTAGTTTTCTCTAAAAGCGGTATCTGCTTAAGGGTTCCGAAAGTTTCCTACATTTGAAGCTTATGCCTTCAAATATAGGTAGTTCGAGAGGAGGTTTATCTTTTCACATTCGCTATTGTTTCGTAGGATATCGTTGCCTTATGTGACATTGAGCTGTGTTTTCTTTCGCTTTGTACGTCAAAGCTTGGAATTAGATTCATACAACTTCTTCGGCTTAGAATCGGGTAGATCTTGCCAGTTTAGGCTTCGATTATGTCCTCTGCGGTTTTCCCTTCTTTCGGCTCAGGTGTTAATCGATGACAACCCAGACTTGTATTACCGCAATTTTTCATTTGTGTTTCACATAATATTCTCTCACTTGGCGTAAAGTCTTACTTTTGAAGAAATGAGTCCCATAACTAGAATGTTTTCTTATTATATTTGTTTGAAGCATTTTGTAAGTGGGTTTGAAACTCCAACTTTTATGAGGGGATTTTTCCTCAACCCCCAACAACAATTTATATTGGTTAGTGCTCATATTTTGAGGGTTTAAAAGAGTTGCATTTCGACATATAATTAGTACAGTTTTATTTGGATAACATCCATTGGTTATCTGTAGTTGCGTGAAAATTAGTTTTTTCTATCTTGTAAGAATTGTATTTGTTTTGTACATTAGAGTGTTCATACAATTGCTCTAGAACATCTATTGAAATAACTAATTTTCATTCCAAATTTATGATCTGGATCTTTAACTATCCATCTTCGATATTTCCCCAGTGACAAACAAAACACTGAAGATTGGTTAGACGTAATGCTTCAACGCAGTCCGCACGAGTTTCCTCGGTTCATTTTTTATCACACTCGTCCTATACAGGGTAATTCAAAAATGCCTAATAAATTATTTTTGTTAGCTCAGAAAAGCTAGTGCTTCAAGTTTCCAAAAAGAAAAGTGAATGCATTTTTGCTTTTGCCCAATTGGAACCACTGTACATGTCACCTAACAGCAACGAAGGAAAAATTGAATGTGAAAAATTCTTCCCCGAGGATTATAATGCTGGAGAGACTGAGGAGGAAGAAGAGGAAGAAGAAAAACAACCAGAAGACTCTGCAGATAAACCTGAGGTCCAAGGTATTCTGTACCAACTACTAATATCAGTAACTTTTTACTCATTCGGTACCACAACTGGATGGTTTGTGAGTATTTACTTATTACTGATACTAATGAATTTTTCAAGTATTGTGTGCCAGTTTCGACATTTAATGTTACTTATGCTTTATGCGTTTTTCAATTATTCTCAAAATATCTTTCTGGCAATTAAGTTCGCTCTTTTGCATGAAGCTCTATTTAATGTTCTGATGTCGGTCCCATAAATAATTTAGATCCCTTAAAAGTGACTTACATTCAGGAATGATTTGAGAATTTAAAAATTGAATTAATTCTAACATGGCATTTTACAATTACTTGGGCGATCAAAAATAAAAAGTAAGCGTAAGCCAAGTTTCGTTTTGTGGCACTTTTATGAAAACAGCTATATGCAAAAAATACGTGTACAATAGCAAATACGTAACATTATTTTTAACTTATTTAACTATTTTTTGATGCCGTGAAGGTTTGGAAAATGGTCTCTGACGTACCTTCGAAAGCTCTAGAGCTACTCGCGCCTAGAGAGTATCTAGTTTGTGTGTAGTTCCAGCCTCGCCTACTAAAATGCTGTCTTTGTAGAATCCGGCTAGTGTAAAATCCAGCAACGCACTGCGGCATTTCTGTCCTATTGTGTACTTCTTTATTACCCCTGTATTTTCTATGAACTTTTTATTTTAGTAGAACTTCATCGCTTCTCGGTAGTATTTTTTTATTGACGCGAAGCGAACTCAATCATATGTAGAATTGTTTCGTTACCTGAGTTCTTTTCGGTACAATTTTCTTCAGAGTGAGAGTTTTTAGAGTTTTTTTCAGAGATTGTTTAGCCGTGATGGGTGTCCCGTTGTAAAGGGCACATTCCACCTTATTTGCAGCGTGCTAAGTTCTAGCAGTGCTTTTTTGGGTACTGATTAGGTTGTCCCTACAAACCGCCTTGAGGTAAGCAGTCCTTGTGGCTCCTTCCAGTACTTCCTATTTTTTTCCGAGACTCATCGCTCGACCCCATCTGTAGATTGAAATGAGCCATACCACAATCTGTTTGTTGGTCAGTCCCTGGTTGCTCATCCCATATCTTTGCTAGTGCCGCAGTCCTCCTTTCCATCACTAATGCTTGCTCCAGTCGCCCGATCTGAGCTCCTGGTCAGGACCTTTGGTTCTTCCAGATCGGCGAGCGCTTAGTGATCTGTTCAAATTTTAGGGTATTTTTAAATCAAAATATGCTTTATTGCCACATAAAATCTGAAATATATTTGAGGTACAAAGCAAATGACACATAAGAACATGGGCAAAAAGTTAGTATTTTCGATTGGACAGCGGTGGTAAGAGTAAGTAAGTTTAAGAAGATTCTGTTCCCATATATTTAGATTGAATTAATTCGCTTGAAAACAGCAAAACTACGAAACTCGTAAATACTTTTATATCTTGGTTTATTTTACTTCCATAATGTTCTGTATGTGAGTACTTTTAACTCAATAATTAAATTCACAACAGGTATTTTACAATAAGACTAAATTTAATTAATGCAACTGATAAGATATAACGATTTGTGGAAATACAATTAATTCATGTAATTGAATACTCATGTAAGCAGGTATAATATAGTATGCGACGGTGTTTCCAAAGAAAAATGTCGAATAATGAACATTTTATTGATTACTTTTTGTAACTTTGTAATTAGTGTGCTTTCCGATTATATTAACTAAATTCTGGCGTAAACGTTATGTTTTGTACGTTCTCCTAGTTCCACATTGACCATGCTAAATTAACAGCAAAAGAACCGCGTATTTATTTTCTAATTTGATTATGCAAATAATATTAACAAACAAATTCCTTATTAGTTTTAAGTAGGTATTTTTCAGTTGTCGCATGTTGGCAATCTATTTTCAACCGCTCTAACGCTTTGAAAATATAGATTTTAATAGCCAATTCACATATTTCAAATAAAAAAACCCAATAGTTTATAACAGACTGCACCAAAAGTTATCCTTTGTTTTACGAAGTCAATATTTCGATATTTAAATTTTCCCACAAATATAAGCGGCGAATTTTGATAATGGTTACTTAAAAATTGTTATTCCTGCATACGACAGCAACGAATATTCCAATTTAAAACAGTTCAAAATAGGTACATTTTTATTTTTAAACTGACTGCTCTGAAATACATTTTTTTTTTTAATTTAATTCCGCATCTGCGTGCAATCTATCCAATGTAATAGACAATAAGCACCCGGTTTGTTGTGCCTGAAAATTACTGTGAAGCTCATTTTTGGTTACGAAAATTATTTTAATGGATGGCCAGTGGCCACTATCGAAGCCAATATCGCAGACAAAAGTTATTTCAAAACTGTACACCAGTTAAGCATTCCACCCTGGAAAATTTACGTATTGATGATTTCGTTTGCAGCAAAATACAATTTAAAAAATGTACCAAGAAACTAGATCATTTAAAGTTTTTCAACAGCAACTTTTGATTATTCCTAAAAGGTGAAGGAGAGGAACAAGATGAATACGTGGACAATGAGCCCACCGAAGAAATAGGTGAAGCGGGAGAATCAGCAGACAGTCCTGAGACAGAAAAACCGGAAGGTGAAGAAAGCGACGTCAATGAACCAACCGAAACTCCTAATGAGGAAGTTCCTGAAACGAATGAGAATATTCAAACTGCTGATCCAGTACCAACTGAGCCCGTAGAAGAAGAACCTGTGATTGAAGCATAAACGAATCTTACTTCCAGCATTGAAATTAATCATTAAATACGAACTTTTTTTATTGCTAATTGGCTTCTGATTGCATAAGTTCAGCGCCTTAATACTCATATCTTGTGCAACACTTCTCTACCCTTTCAGGTTAAACTCACTGAGGACATTTTGGAAGAACTGCTTTATTTCGGAGATATCGAATTTAGCTCAAAAACTCTTGATGACCTCGGAGGTAACCGTTTAACATTTGCTCTACTATTCAAAAGAACCAATGCTCATCTTGCGGGAAACATAGATGATATAGTTTTGCAAATGGTTTACGGAAATTCCAGAAAACCGCCTGGAGACCATAAATCGCCCGCTTGTAAGTTACGTAAAGTTTGGAAAAGCACTGGCAAACCGATCGATTGGGTTGAAGTGGCAGAAAATCTGTCAGAAGAAGAACTTGGTGAAATTGAAGATAATGTTTTACTAGGTTAGTTAATGACAATGTTATCCAAATAATTGCATTTGAGGATAATAATATATGTTTATAATATATGTGTATAGAAATTTGCGCATGAAACTAGTGAACTATGCAACAGGACATACGTTAATGTTTATCTGCTGCTTCGCTAGAAGAGTCAATGTTTAAAACGAAATCATGTTTCTTTTCCTACTGTTCAACTCTTTTTGTGCCATAAACATCTTGCAGTTACATAAAAGTTTCGGTTTGTTGTCCTGTTGGGCTCCTGGAGCTTTAGATGTACAGATTCCCTCTTTTTTGCCAATCTCTCTACATTTGTTTTTCCGTTTTCTATCGATGGCGCTTTAAGTAGGGCCACGCTCTCGTTTTGATCATCTCACAAAAGGTAGAAAAATGTTCCATACTTGTTTTCCGGTTCCACCGCTATCGACTGGACAATTGAGCGATTTTACAATAATACTGAAAGAAAATGTCCATATGACCCTCATGCGTAGTCCCCAAGTGAACACGAGATGCTAATTTAGAATCACCGTTTATATTATCACCTTAAGTGCGTTTAATGGTTTAAGGAATATGGGCACCCCCAAACTCTCTTAGTAGAGCTATGATTTTGAAGCTGTTATTCCCTGCTCTATCGAATCCATTCAAATTACCGGAACAAGAGGAGATCCCGTTACATGTAGCAGTAGCATTTGATGCCTTTAAAGGTTATTTTCAAATGAGATGATATTTCCATACCCAAAATTATTATTTTAGCAAAAGATGTGTTTGAAATATCTGACAAGTATCCTGGGAAAGTAATGAGTATTGGGTATTTCTCCAGCGATGTACCAGGAAAAGCTAAGTTATTAGGCAAAACTACTGAACAATTCGAAGCTCGACCAGCTTCCTTAACCTAGTGCGTATCATAGTCTATGCATTCGTGAAAAAATATATCTAAATGTTAAAAATATATTTTAGTGAAGAGAAAATAGTCATTCAACTAGCGAAAGATAATGCCCAATGTTTTATGGAATTTATGGATCTGGGTCCATCCTATATCAGCACGGATATTGAAGTAGGTGCAGCAGATTGCTTTTATTTCTTTCCTCCTGGTTACAATACTCCGGAATCCGAAATTATCACTTACCTGAAAAAGAAATCCAAGCGAAAAGGTAAGCACTACTTGATCAGAGAATGACCTCAAAACTCGGTCTAATAGTCCAACATTATTCTTAGTTCGGAAATAAAATAGCTTTTAAGTATTAGGCTCTAATTGCTCCTGTTAATCAACGGGTCAAGACAGAATATTTGACCGATGCTAATTGTCACGTGATTTATCTACAGTGTGGCACACTTTATTCGATTATGTATCTCACGCTAACGAATGTAAAATKTTTCGAATTAAATATTTGACTTCATAGTTTTACCCGAGTGAATTWTTAAAATTACTTTCAACTATATGATTGCCGCAAAGAGGGATTCATTATTAAACTCGATCTTTCATAATATAGTTAAAAAATCATATGTTCAAATTTTATAAAACACAAAGKTAAGTTTCTTACTACTTCTATATATGTAATATTTAAGGTAAAATGGGACGGTACAAAATAGCTGTTGATCAAATACAAGATACCGATACTCAATCTATCATTACGGGTACAGAAGCTGATACTTCATTTATGGATCTTGCTGGAGATCAAATTGGTGAAGATAACGGTGATGAGATAGAAATTGCCGACGACCTCCATAATGACGAAGGCGATAGTGGAGAGGAAAATGAAGATAAAGATTCACGTCTTGCTATTCAAATTAATGATAGCGTTATGGATAATGTAGACAAGGCTACGTCACCTGTAGCAAATTAATTATTTGATGAGTTTCACTAGTAATTTAGTTTATTTATTTAGTCCCAAGTTAGTGTGAGTTAACCATTTTAAGCTTTAATTCATGATTATTTTAAGCTTAAACTAACGCAACAACTTAGCTTTATTCATTACAAAAATGCTGTAGGCCATTGCGGTTTAGCGCTCGGTGTCTTACCAGACAACGGTTTAATGTTAAGCTTTTGAACAAATATAGTATTGTATAATTTTGGAGCAATTTCCATGTTTAAACTTTTGACAACTGCAGATTTGGAATTATCCATTTGTGCTGGTACAATTAAATCTGAATAGTTCAAAGCTGTAAGAACAATGTAGATAGTAAATAGTATTATTTAGGAAGGTTACCTCACATTACTAAAAAGAGTACACTGCGATATATATATATTTTATATACCTGAAAACTGCTATATAAAATCCGCAAGAAAAATTGTAAAAATAACGCCAAACCCGCAGTGCAACTTGCTCAAAAACCTAAACAAACTTTGCAAAATCTGCTACATAAAGCTTAAATTTTACAAAGCCGCACATCCGCTCAGTAAATATTTTATAAAAGAAACTAAAGCTCTGGTTGCAATTTTCTACTGCAAAATTATGTACCTAATCTTCGGATCCGGTCTCGACCCGACTGGCTGAAACCCCATAACACCTACCTTTCTTAGAAAAAAATAATGCCTTTTAGTGACTTAACTTTTTTTCTTAATTTAATAATTGAGATAACTAAACCTATCTGGATCTAGACCTCACTGGCTGTGTGAGGACACATGGGTGCTTAACGGTGAAAGAACTGAACTACTCGGACGGTTTCTGGCCGCTAAAATTCCCTAGCGAAAATTGTTTAGATGAAATAAGGTCAGGATCACTTGCAATATTTTAGAGAGCTATCCGCTGTACCACCCCAAAATACTAAACAAGTCCACGCAGCTCTAGATTACATAACTAGTTAGGTACTGCTGAAACATCGAGAGAACAATTTGAATTTTGAAACAATTTTATTGGAAATCTATAACCCATTTAATTTAGTGTGTTCTTCACAGAAGGAAAACACCCATACATGATACAAATTACGGATATCACTCACCTGTGCAGTTTCCAACGTGGACATTTCAGGAAACGATAGAGAAGCGAAAAAATATGAGTTTGCATTATAGGTAAACGACGAGTATTCGAGAAACGCTTCGTTGAAAACATTAATTGTAAATAATAAAAAAAAAACTGAAATCGACCTGCAAATGATTCATCCAAAGAGACGATCAAGACAACAATTATATCATCACCTTAATTCTGTAGGTCGTTGCCTTCGGAAAGTCGAAAAAGCCTAAATATCGCTTCGGTTTTTTCCTGGAAAAGGTTACTAAATATTAAGTTTGGTACGAGAAGTGAACAAAATACGTCGTCAGTCCTTTGTTCATAGGCGGCATATACAGGATGATTTGGTGCCAATAAGGCAAGTGTGCTAGTTTATCCGTTATCTACTGACTGAAAGATTAAAGTTTTTAATTCGGAGTGGATGTTCGTGTTTGCAGAAAGCTGGTAAGAATTAGTTCTAATCTATGAGTCTATTGGCTTGAAGTGGTTCTAGTCTTTCGCAATACAACTGAAGTTGAGGGCATTTTCTATTTCGCTTTATTTCAAATAATTAAACTTTTGACTAAGTTTCTGCAATACTAAAAAAGGTTTCTCTTTCTTTCCAGGTGGCATAATGCAGCTTTTGGTAAGTTTGGCATTCCTTTGTTACTGGTTGACGTGTAGATGTAGAGCTTTTAGTCCCGTTAAATTGACTTGTATATTATCATATTGCTGCATGCCATTTTATATATATTATATATAAAATGTTCGTTCATATTTATTCGACAACCAACGRCGAGGAACTTTYTGGATTCTAGATTGAGTTTTGAAATTKATTCTTRAWWATTWYRCCGATCTTTAAAAATRAATTTRTTCYTAAAATTWTTACACCGTWRCAAAAGTRGCTCATAAATGCTCGTCTTTTTGAATTGGAAATTTTAAAARTTTATTTAACGGTGTTRCCGAATTTGAGGATATGATCAARCAGTTAGCCCATTTTTTTGCTTCAAAAAAGCTATACCTTGTTTTCCTCGATATCTCTTACKGCTTTTAAGATGGACTTTTTTGTAGTTTTCAGTGATAAAACTATTACTTAGTGTAGGTACGTATACGTATGTGAAAATAAAATCGAACCTTGTTATTCCTTTTTGAACCTTTTCGTTGACTTTCTCCTAAGTAACGCTAATCGTAGTGTTTTTACCACAGAAATCCGTATAGTTAACTTTTTTGTCATTAGTCAGGACATAGTGTATAGCAGGAAATTGTTTAATTAAAATGAAATAGAATTAACAAAAGTATAAAAAAATTGATCAGGTTCAGATATAAAACAATATAGCTGTGCGTTTATCGTCACATATATGCAAACATTCTGTACGTGTAGGTATTCTATACTTATATTTGTCTTTGAATCGGATTGAAATAATGGACAAAACAATTAATTTTTAATTTTATTATGTTGAAATATCACAATTGAATAAACTTATGACTAAAAAATGGTAACCAATTATATGCGTCATTGCTAACTAAGTATTTTAATTAAATAGAACATGTATTCTTAGATAAGTAGTTGAACCTGCAGTTTAATCTTACCAATTATTCATAAACATAAAATTGTTGATAGTTACTTTGAAAAAAACACTGCCAATTATTTGAACCTTCCTATCTACTAATGGTTGAATTAATATTATCGTTAACCGAAATAAATAACTTTCGGATGATATTGCATAGCAGGTCGAAACGTAGTAATATAAAATATTGGAAACAATTTCATTTTTAGTTTATATCTACATAAAAATAAATTTCTACATATGCAAACATGAGTGTCTAATTACATATTAAAAGACTTAGTGTGGAAGATATTGGAATGAGTCTGTTGTGGCCAACACAAGTGAATTAAAACCGAATAAAAACAAAAAATACCATTAATGTTTTACTCAGAATAAAATCTTATCAGGCAATAAGCATCAAATTGTTCTAAAAGTTGAAAAAACATTTGAACATCACTAATCTCTTTATTTCATTTTATTGTGACAATCTGTGTCTGACCATTATTTTGTTTCATTATGAACTTATTACAACAGCAATTATCACGACTACATATCGAGATCGGACTGATATAACCACGTCCATATAATTAGGTAAGTTTGATAATGTGAAAGACGATCTCGAAGCTCAACCGCAAAACATAAGGATTATTTTTTATTTAATATTTTTGAATAACCTACCAGAAGGAGAAAATTAAATTTCCAAAAGCTTGGTGATTATCTAATCGGTTTGTGGTTCTGAAGGTCTCAATGCCATGTTCCCACCATCTTCCTCTTTTCACAGTTTTTCAAAATTTCAGTCAACACTACCATTTCAATCTTTTACTTAAAAATAATATATCCCAACGATTAATTTCTTACTTTTAGCGTCTTAAACTAACACAGCCCTTTAAATAACCTACAACTAGTAACAGAAATGTATGTTAAAATTAGACTCCTTCAAAAATGATCCAACATCAATGAATTGTTGCAAACATGTTCATTTAGCACTAGAAAAACTTTGAAATTACTGTACCTCTTGCCAACATTAAGTATTTTCATTGATCAGTTTTAAATGTGTCTCCCAATGTCACGCAGTAAAACTTATAGTTCAATCGATTATGGTAATTTCCTAATGATACTAAATTGAAATACTCTGCGTAGCAGTTGCTCGTATAACATGACTGACATTTTTTACGGCATTTTAACTAAGCAACCTAAGCAATTAACACCCAATATTATTCGGCTTATTAACGCAGGTTATGCGTTGTTGTGATCGAAATTTTCTACCTCGTCCACGTCGTTCTTTAATACGCAATTGATAAATTCATATTTATACATTTCATTAATTACTGAGAAACAATTTTTCCATTCAAAATTTGGTTTTCAATGCTACATATCTAGATGGCGTTTTCTTTTTAACTAAGCTAATCGCTTTCTCTATAATAAAACAATTATTAAACATTACTTTTCGTAGCTGAAATACCGGTATTTTGTATCTGATTAAAATCCATCCAGAAACCCGGTAGAACCAAACCGTCATGCACTTGAAACAAGTTTTTAAGGTCAATTAACACAATTGTTATTAAAATTTAGTTTCCACCAAATGCAGTTGGGGTATTATTTAAAAGGCGAACTTTTCAATTAGCATTAAGCTATTAACTATTGGTATCTTTAACATCAACCTATGAAGAGAATTTGCAGCACAATAGAAATAAACTTTTGTGGTTTTAAGCATTTAGACACAATGAGTTATAGTAAGCTTCTAAGACATTATAAAAATATTCAATAAAAATTAAAGTTCTAGTTGCAAATGTGAAAAACCGACATCACCTGATCGTATTTGCCTTAAAAGTGAATAGCAGTCACCAGAAATTTGTTTGTAAACGCATTTTATGTACTTGTATCAGAGTTAATACTTTTACTGTCAATATAATTTGTATTAATTAAGGACCTCATGTCCATATTCCTTCATAAGTGTGCTCACTAATATGACTGTATTGTTAAGATTAATTAGTAATTCAAAACCTCTTAGTTCAAAATCTCTCGAATAGTTTTGGATAGTAAAAATATGAATGTCTACATTAATAACTATACATTTTGCCAAACACAACCTTATTTCTTCAATCGGCTTATATACAGCGTGAATTAAAAATATGTGCAGATATTTTAAGTTTTAAAGAAGATATTTTAAATAAAATTTGAAAAATTCATATAGAAGTGTTTCTATTTTCTTCTTCAAAATGCTTCAACGTACAATTCAGCATTTTAGATTATTGTGGTCTTGTGTTGTCCAGGTAATGCCTTTTAATAAAAGAAATCAACACCGTTTTTCTTCTTACGCCATCTTTTTTTCCACTTTAACTTCCAACAAGGAGACTCCTTGACATTACATTGAATTTAAAAACGATAAATATTATCATCAATTTTAATTTCCTTATGAATACGCTTCCTAATGAATTTCCTTGTGAATGCCTACTAGTTCACATAAAATAAGTAAGCTGATTGCACATAGCAACCGTCTAATATGCGGACGGCATTTTTGCCTTTCTATGTTTTAACAATAAACGATTCATTTATGAGAAATAACTATATTTTTACACCATTTGCTTCATTCATTAATGTCTTTAAAAATGCCTAAGAAAAAAACCTTCAGAGAATGTCTTTAAAATTCCCTTCCTAATTCACATAATTACGAAATTCTTTGTATAGGGATAGTTTGTTATACAAGGTGACTTACATCTATGCCTAAATGAACTATTAAGGCTCCTTAAAACAGTGTCTTTGACACGAATATTGCTATGCTAATTCGCGAGAAATCGACCGAAAGGTTGTAACATCTTGCATGGCAAACGTAAAAAATTGGTTTTTTATGGCATTAAATTTATAGTAGGAAAAGTGTACTTGTTTGACATCGATGAAATGAACATTTGTGACCCTTGTAACAAAATCAAAATAAGTAAATCTATTCAATATAAGGTTGAAACAACGTTTACACGTTTATCAGTTGATAAATTCAATTACTTTCAATAACTGATTTTAATTTTATAGATTTTATCGTGCGATTCAATTGGCGAAAGCAATTGAGGATTGCAATTCTGATGTCATAATTGGCTTTATGGGACTGGGCTTATTTTGCTTTTATTGTTCAGGTTTTGTCACAAAAAGCTGATTTTCTAATCAGAATTCGCATCAATGAATTTGAAGCGCGCAGCTAGCAAAATTTGTTCTTATCGTCGCTGTCTGCTATTTATTTATTTAATTTCTCCAACGAGGATGAAGCAATGGTTCTGGCAACACTCGGTTCAGTTTGAACCACTTGAGTGAATCGGAAAATGACTGGCACATTTGAACAGAGTTTTGCTAATTATTTGATGTTCCAGTTGTGAAAATTTTGTATTACTCAAACAAAAATAAAAAATGTGCCTCTTTTCATTTTCCTGCAGTAATGCGCCACTTTTTGATTGATAAAGTGTATTTTTCTGGGGAGAACGCAACCAAAGACATTTTTTGAGTCAAAATTGCACATTGTTTTTAAAACTGTTCAGTGGATTGAAATTCTGATGTAAAATTCGTGTTTTTCGTATGATGTTGTCAACAGGAGATTTTTCAAAAAGAGAAAGTTTGGTCGCTTATTTTTTTAATCGGTTTTTATTGAAAATAATTTTCAATCTGTATTTTATTTTCATTTTGATCGTGAATGTTTGTGATGGAAAACTCTGTTTAACATACAAACTGTTCCTTACATTAAGTTCAAATTTAATAATTTAAAATTAAATAGTTTTCTTCTGGATTTTTTCACAAAACATAACGTTGCCATTTCAAAACAGAGTTCCCGTACTGCACTAAAACAAATGTGCAAAGCATACAATTGTTAAGGCGTTACTTTTGAGAAGTACTCAGGGTATTTTTCATATATGTATGTATATTGCATATGCTTTGAAGTAGCATTAATTGCTACGAGTTCTTACATGCTTTGATTGATTCATAAATAAGTAATAATAATAAGACTAATGAACCATATCAATACAAAGAAATCAAAATGTACCGTGAGCATTTTATGGGCATATTTTATATGTATGTCAAAATAAATGTTGTTGTTTCCTATAACCATAAACCTAAAAGTGCGCTCTCTCCAGATAGGCGAATTAGAAGCTTACAGAACTGGGATTCCTTATTTTATTGCACCTCAGAATGAGAAACTAAAGCATTAACAAACGATGCGGTCATCTTCTATGTATTGAAAATTCCACTTTCCTAGTAGTTTTTCTTTCTTCTCTGAAACGTCGGTCGAATTTGCAAGCTGCAAGGATATAAAATATAAAATCCTCTGAAGGCTAATTCAATGTTGAATTAACGTTTCGAATTGCAAATATCAACTATCGCCCTCATATAGATAAGCCGCCTTTTTATTGACTTCGGCTACCTATAGCATATAAAACGATTGGAAATGGGTAGCGTTGAGGGCAAAATACGCATAAATTTATAAAAAATAGTGTCCACACTTTTCTAAAATATGGTGCAACTAGAACCGCAAAATAAAAACATTTTTATCGATTTTTTCCAACCGGGCGTGATGTTGCTACTATACAAGAGTAATTTCGGGGCAGTTAATATAAACAGTAAAAATAACTCAGTCCGCAAAACTCATTCTTGATATGCAACAAGTCGAAAAACACAAGAAAAGTTTGCCTGCATATATTGTCAAAAGTTTTCCTAAATGTGTTTCGAAAACCCTGAAGTGGCATTTCACTGAAGTGTTTAAATCGATAAATTTGTATCGTACTGTGCATTATAAAAATACGTAAAAATAATACTGTGGCATCGTTAATTGAATATGTCTAGTGCTTAGTTTTTATAGTGTTAAATTTTAAAGATATGTGGCAGGGTACTATTGAACCAATACAAAATTTTCCGAGTCAAAAGGTGTCTTCATGTTAACGAGAACCTACTGTTTTAAGAAATAATGCTTAACATAATTCTAAACCTACAATGGTCTCGTAGGAAGCCTCACATTTCAGTCAAAACAGCAAAACATATTTTGCGATAACATAGCTACGTCTTTGACGAATGGCTCCCCGCGTTCTTGTTATAAATTTCAAGTAAATGAGTCAAAGACAAAGTATTGCCTAAATCACGACTTGTAGGGCTCCTAGATGCATGCGACTTAATTGCACTGTCTCCTCCACTGTTAAATGATTCATTAGTGAAGAATGTGTCACTACATTGATTCTGTTTAACCTTCTTCAATTGTTCCAAAGCCTCGTCGTAAGTGGGCAAACCTGATGCAATAGTGTAACTAGGCAGGTCAGATTCTGGCACCCCAGCTTCCAAATTGGCGGCATTTCGGGCCTCGATAACTGCAACAGGAAGAAACCAAAGGTTAAGCGACTGAAGGCGGAAAATTATAATTATTGACAAAAAATGTACCGTATTTCGGGTAGCGCAAATAATTTAAACGAACTCAAGTGTATAGGAAAAATAATGAACATTGTACAGTTATTGTCTATAGCCGGATGAACGGACAGTCATGGCTATTGCAGCGTCTTTAACGCAGCCAAATGGAACGGAGATGCAAAATTTTGCTGAAAAAATTGTGGTCTGAAGGATTTTGTGTTAAAAATATGTTAACAAATATGTTGGAAACTACAATATTAAAATCAGTAGTTCCTTAACATTTGTAGTGAAGAAAGAAACAAAAACGCCTTTGGCTCTTTGATCCATGCAAGCAACTGTAATCTTTAAAACAACATTATTTAGTTTTTCAAATACAAGGTTCTCCACTGAAATAGTCTGTCCGCGAACCCTACATTGTACGGTATGCTAATAAATCACATACTACGTTGCAACTTTATTTTAAATGCGAACTCGTTACGTTTACCTTAAGACTTAAGTCGTCTGGACATTTAACATTAAACTGAATAAATAATACCACTCTTCTTGGGTTACAACTAGTTTTCAATAACTTTAAAATTCGCAATGAGCCACTTGTAAATGAAACAGCTGGCAGTACAAGAAGGCGATTCTAACGTAAATCCAGAAATTTGTTTGTTTTGCTTGCTTCTCATTCGATTCTTTGTTAAATAGTGTAATAGTTTCATTTTATTTACACAAAATTTACAAAACTATAATAGTCGTTTTTACCGGAATGTTGCAAAGCTTTTGAAAAGCCGAAAATGTTAATCAAACTTTTGGAATTTTTATTTTCTTTTTCTGTTGTAATATATCTAATAGTAAATTAGCCGCAATAACCCACGACATAAAAAAACAGACTTTATACCGGCCTGCCAGATGGTCCGGTTTATAACTTTTCAGTTCTATTTGTAAAGGAATCTTTAATTGAAATATTTGCTACTCAACTCAAAAAATTGTCGAAACCTTACAATTAGTTAATTAATACCAACAAATAATAATATACCAAAAAATATTCGCAACATTGAAAAGCTTTTAACAACAGCAGAGCTTAATTTTCAGAATTTAATGGATAATATACAGGGTGTTTGGTAAGTAGATACATTCCTTGCAGGGGGTGATAGTGCAATTAATTTTGGATATATTTCGTTAATAGACCAGGTTCCGAAAACCATTAGTTTCCGATCTACAGGGTGTTAAAGTTTTTTAAAATATTCGCAACATTGAAAAGCTTTTAATAGCAGCCGAGCTTAATTTACTGCATTTAATGGATAACACGTAAATTGGAATTTCATTGGAATAATGAACTAGCATACTAGGTGAAATAGACCATAAAAAGCAATTTTCATTGTTGTCATCTAAGATGTTTGCAGTTAACTTTGTAAAAATTACAACATTAAATTTTTTTCATGATAGCAGGGGCCAAATTAAAAAAATATTCTTTAAGCAGATAATATAATGGCATCTAAAAATATGCCACAACATATAAATATGAAAAAATAAAGGTATAGCCACCGCGGTTTTAAAGGGCTGAAATTGCACCGTTAAGCAGTCAAGAAACGTGCACTATTCTATTAGAGTTTGCTTTAATTGATTGAAATACTGAAATCGATCTACCAAGTATTTCAAGTGTTTTCGGTAACCGCAGCTATCAGCTTACTTTAAACGTATTAATGCCATGTTGATGTAAAGTTCATAAAAACACCCATTAAAGGAATAGATACCATGCACCTGTAAAATCGTTAATGACTTTCAAGCGCTTCGCGTTCTATGTTTCATATAAATTTCACTTTTGGGAATGCCTAATAAATATGCAAACTAGAGGAGCAGAATGTAACATAAACCAGTCGCTGAATATTAATCATATTTTTAAATATGTTTCAATTAATATTTTCACTCAATTTATGAATTGCGGTTAAATGAATTAGTTCCCTCTTCATTAATTATTAATATTGCCGAAATTTATTGCAGCCCAGTTCTTCACATTCCACATTCTTTTAAATATTTTGAAAAGAATTCCGGAATCGGCACAAAAGACGTACGGAATCTAATCAACAATCATAATAGACATAATTTTAAATATTGTTTTAAAAACTGCCTGTTTCCAAGTTTTACACTGGGGTTGTTTTATTTCCTGATTGATTTCTGATTATTTCATTATTAAATTGATTATCTTATTAAGTTCTATGAATAAAATCTCAATTTTAAGATTCTTCTGGATAGTTTTTAAAATGACAGGGTTTTACCAATATTGTCTCTTCACGAATTATATATTTTTTTAAGTACGTAACAAAGCAGGTTTTTAGTCAACTAGTAATTTAATTGAGTAATTATATCAACAAGTTTATTTATTTTTTGCCAGTTTGGTTTTATCAAACAAATTGGTTCAAAATTCAAATTGAACTCCAGTTGATTAAACTGTATCAAATGAATGAATTTTTTACCACCTTTACGCTTACTTGGTAAAACTGAATAGAGTTAATTAAAATAATTAATCCGTAACCCCTATTAACACTTGCAATAAGGAAAAAAATGTTGGTAAAATATGTAATTATAATAATTGAATATATTAATAAACGAGCCCGTCTACTGTTATAACAATTATTTAAGCTCTGCTTATAAGCTAATCATCCGTATTATTATTTTGACCAAGGTTCTCCCCTTCAAGGCTCGTAAAATTAGCTCATTCAAGATTTAATCCGATGCAGTTTAATTTACTTATAATATATTTATTATATTATAATATTCTATATTCTGACAATATGATTTGCATTTAATTTCATAAATATCAATGAAATCAAATAAGAATGTCAATAACATATAATTGCGCGATTTGTTTAGTTTAATGTATGTTTGTGACTGTTTTATATTTATTATACAATTATGTTGTGAACTTAGTACAAGCATTTATTAATTTTCTGCAGTTAAGTTTTTTATTATATATAGTCACACAGAGCTTAAGAGGATCACTTACACCTAGTCCACATCTGATCTGTCCGATTCAATTTAAAGCAAAGGAATTTGCAAAAGTTTGTTACTTTTAATAATTTTCTAATCAAATCACGCTTATATCGATTTCAAATAAATATTTGATCGTGCACATGAACTTTTTATGGTGTTTGTTCTAGCACCTCAAGAAACCTGGATTTAAAAAAAAGTTTGAATTATTAACGATTTTATAATATAGTTTATTATTTTGCGTATTTGTTTTTAATGGAGTCATATGAATAGTGAAATTTTTTTTATCAGATCAGAGTAACTAATTCTTCACAAAATATTGTAATATCATTATATAGTCACCATCACATAGAAAATGCGTAAGTCCACTTTTTGGAAAATGGGTTTGAATTGTTATCTGCTTAAGCACTTTAATATTATACGATTTCCTATTAAGAAATTGAGCCTCTACTGGAAAAACTCGCTTCCCAAAACTTTGTTAATGTAGTCTAACATGTAGTGTCTTTGTTAGTGATGAATATTGGGTTAAACCGAGCATTCAATGTATATTAACGGCTATTAATAAAATATATTTTTTTAAGATTTTTCTTAGAGCAACGTAAGTTTTATACATAATTAATTAAAAAAAAGCTTTGCCAGATAGTTAGGGCAAGCACCGAAATGACAGTGGTATGCATATATGTATTTAGTTTGATGCCGTTAAATAATTTTAACACACAACTACGAGCATAAGAAAATAAGATCAACAGCTTAATTTCATCATCAATAATATTTATTTTTGATAAAATCGAGAAAGTCGAAGTTTTTTAGAATGTATCGAAGTTAAAGAAGCTTTAACGTTTCAAACAAAGTCCTCATGGAAAGTCAAACTAATAATGCTAATAACCAAGAACTGCCGGAAAATATAAATTCTGGCAATGATCAGTCAGATTATATTGAACTCTTAAAGAAGAGAAGTTACAAAAAGAATGCGAAAATATTGCTTTATACAATGAATTGAAAATGAACATGATAACATGATAAATATAGCAGCGCAAAAAATAATCCAAAAGTGATATAATTGAAGAAAATTTGCAATTGCTTTAATTCATATTTAAGTTAAAAATGCGTGCTAAAATACCACAGAATAAATAAATCATATTTCTACATAGCATGTTTAAATCAGGTTTCAGGGTGATCAAAGTGTTCACGTTTTAAAGTGCAGAAAACTATGTAATTAGCAAATATTATTATTTTTTAATTATTTTTTGAACAATGTTTTACATTTTAAAATAAAAACGTCGTTCGTATAACTATATAATCTTCTAAAGGACAAATTTTATCTGAAAAGCAATCACCACATTATTAATTGCTTATCTAATAAATCTTTGTATGTATAAGATTTTATGAAGCTTTGAAGCCATATTTGTAGATAAACATTTTTCAATACAGAATTAAACAAAGGTTTCCAAGGCTTTCGAGGTGAATGCTTTTGCACAGACAGTTAATTAAATTATATTGAACTATGCTGACCTTACACCCTCTGCGTAGCGAGAAAATTTACTTGGAAAAGTGAGGTTTGACGATACAATTTCATAAATTAAATAAATACATGCCAGTTCATGCTCGTGCTTACACGAGATACATACTTTGCACTGCATCCATATTAATGATGTTTCGGTAGCTACCACGTGTGTGGTGTAGCGATTATTTTAGTTATTACTAATCGACTGAAATGCAGATTTCAAGATCATGCTATATGGCAGCAAATTTTTTATTTGACGGAAACAGTTAAATTAGGTCACAAATTGAGTCTTAAAATAGTCGATAGAGAAATGTATTACCGAAAGACGTTCACCTTCTAAAAGTTTGACAAAATATTTTTTTCCATGCGGAATATAAATATATTAGGAGAAAGTTTCAGTTACGGTAGAATCACTTAAAGAAAAAACGTGCAAAAGATCTCCTCAGGAGTTCAATGCCAATGGCCAATGCCGGTCTGATATGATGT